GTTTCCAGTTAGGACCTTTATGGCTCTTTGAGTGTTCAAGATTGCTGACCTCCGGAATAGGTGAAGATAATTCAATGCAATAATTGCTATAATTTCTCAATCGGACATATTGACTGGCAACCTTGCTTAGATGTTTATCAGATCCACAATAAGTCTGTACAGACAAGAAAGCATGGAAAATAATATATGAATGGGAAGACATGTGATTATTACCACATTCATTCCATTTCTGGATTCAGAGTGCTCAAATACCTTCATAGCATAACAGCCCCTTAATTCATGAGCACCAAAGGCCTTTAGGAACAAAAACATGGGGAAGCTTGGACTCAACCATAGCAAGGCGAAAGGGATGTGGTTTTTTGGTTTCCCTGGTTCTGGTTAAGTATCATCTTTAATTCTTGTTATGGTTGCACTCTTCTTGAGAGAGCTAGTGTGCAACTGGGGGTCCTCAAGGAGCAGGTAGCAGCTATTGGTGGGGAGAGGGGAGGAGTTGCATAGATATATCTTGTATGCCCTTTATGTCCATTCCTGGATCGGAAAACCTAGCTCACAGCCATTCATGACCTGGTGACTTCTCATCTGGATTACTACAGTGTGCTCTAGACAGGACTTCCCTTGAAGTTTATTGAGAAATTACAGCTGATTCAGAATGTGGCAGCATATAAATTCTGGGTTCTTCATTTGTCCATGCTGTGTGAGATACACTGACTTCCATTTTCTTTCCAGGCGCGATTCAAGATGCTAGCTCTCTGTCAGGTGCAGATAACCAGGAGCATTAATTGAATTCAAAACACAGAAGAGTTTCTTATTGCTACCTATACACAATAATCTAGTCAACTAGACTTCTGGTTTGGGTCTCTTCAGCGATAGACCGAAATCCGCGACCGTGTGCGGTTTCGATCTGTGCTCGCTGGTGGAACACCCCGATCCTTTGGATTCAGTGCTGAAGCCACCCCATAGAGGTGCTGAAGAGGGGGGAGATTGCTAGCCAAGTGGAGGGGAGCCTCATCTCTCCTTGGCTGGTCGAAACTCCCTTCCCTGAAGGCGGTTGCAGCGGTGGTCAGAAATGGCCACCTCAAAGAAGAACCCGACTGGATAAGAGGAAAGCAGGTCAGACCGTGCTAAACAACAGAGAACATCTAAGCAAGGTATGCTGAATCTAAAAGTACTTAGAGGGATACTTCTGAAAGAAGATCTTTAAGCGGCGAAGGAGAGAGAAAAGGAGGTTAAAAGCCCCTTTTTTTACCTTTATATTGACGATTACAAATGGTATGGAAAGAAATTTATATTAATCTATTTTGACACTAACAGGCAACCTTAAGCTGAAATCTAAATGTCAAAAGGAGAATAAATATTTTTTCTTAATTAATTCTATATTAATTCAGGTGATTGATCGTATACAATATGATAGCCCTGAGATGCTGAAGGGTTAGCACTATGGGTCATCCAACAACTGAACCTTCTCTTCTAAAAGGGTGGACGTGATAGCAGTGTTCTAATATTTGAGGGACTGCCACAAAAAAGAGGGGGGTCAACTATTCTCCAAAGCACCAGAAGGCAAGACAAGACGCAATGGATGGAAACTAATCAAAGAGAAAAGTAACCTAAACTAAGGAGAAATTTTCTAACAGTGAGAGCAATTAATCAGTGGAATAGATTTCCTTCGGAAGTTGTGGGTGCTCCATCACTGGAGGCTTTTATGAAAAGATTGGACAGCCATTTGTCTGGAATGGTATAGGGTCTGCTGCTTGAGCAGTGGGTTGGACTAGAAGACCTCCAAGTTTCCCTTCCAGTTCTGTACAGTATTCTGCTCTTTAGCACTCACTGCCTAAGGGGCACTCACTTTGCCCACGGACATAGCTGGCTCTGCAAGAAAATGATAGCTCTTTAAATAGAATAGAATAGAATTCTTTATTGGCCAAGTATAGTTGGACACACAAGGAATTTGTCCTGGTGACTATAGTGAGTATGGTGAAATAAATTATTTTCTTTTTTTGCATAGTTGTTCTCAAGCTTTTTTCCCTTCTCAGGAGATGTTTACTGTGTGATTTACTTTTCTGTTATAGAAAATCAAGCAATTCTAATGTTATCAGTAAGTCTTTTAAAATAATGTTGTGGAGTAGAGATGAAGCTGATGTGAATTTAAAAAAATACAAAGTGTATACTCGGATTTTGTTTTGTTTTTTTCTTTCCTGAACTTTCAGGTGCAAAAGGTCTCCATTAGCTGAGAAGGAAGCAATTCCCTTTTGCATTCCTTAACTCATACAAACATACAGGCATTAGCTATCAGTTAACAAAATGGTTACTATTCCCCAGGAGTCAGATGAGGTAAACTCTAATGCATTATATCTTTTAATAAAATGTGCTAATCTGAAAAAGTGCTACCAGGTTCCATCTGATTCTATTCAATATTTTTTATATATCAAATAGTAATTTGTATTTCCACCTCGTTTTGAATATTCAAGGGCCATTTTCAATTTATCTTACAATCCAGAACAATACGAAGTCTTCGTGGGGGGAAAAAATGCTTCTGAATCTCTCTTCGTGTTTACTTCCTCTATTAAAGTGAACGAGAGGCACTTGCAATTAATATTTAACAAGGTTACAGGAACATTCGAATGTTATGAGATTATTGAACATTCCAACAAGTTAAGGCTTCAGAAATTCTCATTCACTATTTCTTGAATCATGTCTGAATGTAAATTTAATTATATTCCAATTTCCTGGAAATTTTCTTGGCACTTAGAGAAATGTATTTCTGAGTCAATACTAAGATGAAAACTTGACTTGAACAGGAGGTTCCATTCCTACATAGAAGGCTATGCTACCATAAATCCCAGAGGTCTTTACCAGGATCAGACACTACAAATTCTAGATACCTCCTTTCCCCATTGGGCCAAGAAAGAGTTCCACATACAAAAAAATACTGACTGGAATTGCAATGAATTCACTTAAACAGGATCATATCATTTAGATCTAATTTACAATGCAAGGATTTAGCTATTCAAGGCTTTTGCTGACAATTACCCTGCTTCGTTTATGGAATTGTAGAGGCAATGTAACAATGTTATCTTCCATTCTTCCCTCCCCACTGTTTTTTTCCATATTTTATTTGTAATAACAAATATCTATGAACGGTTACCAAATATTGTTATTGCCAAATATGGTTATATAGAGACAGAGTAGCAATGCCATGTCTTGGTAGCACGAAGAGCCTTTTAGAGGGGAACATTTACAGGAAGATAATAGGGATCTTCCATTTCTTTCTTTCTCTATTTCCCATGATTCACACAAATGGAGAAATATCAGACTGTAGTAGGTGGTCTGAAAATATTCTTTGAGCCTTTCCACTGACTGAAAGTCACAGATACATTTCGTTTTTTGCCAGAATACCCACACAGGTGTTGCCATAGATCAGATTGCATTACTTGGGTAAGCTGTTTTGCTTAAGGCTCATCTGCCTTTCTGCCCCATTCTGCCCTTCTCCCCCATTTCAAGTTTATTTGCCTGCTTCTAAACTTCAGTGACGATGGATGAGACCAAATGTGATGGAATAACAGCTTCCATTACCCTCTCCTGTCAGCCTGGGGGCGGAGATCATTGTAGTCCCACACAACTGGAGGTCAGTTTGAGTTTGAAGAAGTCAGCTGACATGATTTTGCCCAGCTCTTTTTGGATGATCCAGGCTCTGCTCTTGCTTGGGAAGATATTCTGGAAAATCAAATGTTCCACGTTAAACTTATTCTTTATCCTGTTTTTTTGTTTGTTTGTTTGTTTGAACTCAGGCTTTGCAGATGCACTGAATGCAGCTAATGATATAACAAATGAAGCAAACAAAATGCTAAAAAGTTAGGATATTTATACAGTTACTTACCAAGCACATTTAAATTATATCAAAGTAACCCAAATACTTTTACAATCCCCATGGAAATTGAGCACCCCTAAATGTTTGGAAACAAAGTTGAAAAATATGACACGCCCTATAAATATGATTCTGTCCTGGGGGGGGGGGAGAGGAAGCTGATGGGGGTGGAGGATTAAGGAATGTGTATTGATTTGCAGCTCGGCCGTTTTCCATCGATTAAGAGACCTTTTCTTAAACACATCCCTTCCTTCCTGCTGCCCTCAAGGCTCCCAGCAACGCAGACCGTGTCCTTTAAATGAACAAATACAATATCCAATACTTCTTCTGAGCCGCGGACGTGGGGAACGAATAAGATCGGAGGAAAGCCCTACAAAATGTCCAGATTTGTGAAGGGATTAGGGAGAGGGCATATTCTCCCAACCTCCCAGTGTCGTCTTCATTATTATTTTTTAAAGGTCTCCGAAACCCCTGGACTTCCACTTAATAAAGCAGAAATGTGTTGTATCGCGATCCCGCGGGACATCCAGAGGCTCACTATCGTCCTCGGGGAATGAAAACCCAGCGACAGCCAGGAGTACTCGCAAAAGGATCCGAAATAGCGTCCAACCGCACTTTCTCTTACGCCCTCTCCGCCCGCCTTCCTTAATTACTCATGAGAAATCCCATCGGCCGCCCTCGATCGCAAAGACAAAGGCTATTTTTCCACTCCGACCTATTTCCTTTATTTCACTCTCAACCGCACATCCACTCCCTGCCTCTACTGTAACTTCGCTTTAGCAACAGCCCGAGTCTGGGGGTGTGTACCGTGGTGCATGCGCAACTGCCCGCAGCTACCGCGTTTCATTCATAAAAAAAAAAAAGAGAGGAAAAACATTCAGTCTATAGTCATCCTTAACTCTCAATGAGTTCCTTCCGGCCCCCCATTCATAAAATGAGAGCAGAGCATGCGCCTTGGAAATCCAGTGCCCACCCATTCATAGAATTGGGAGGACAAGCATGCGTAGTAGAGGCCCTTTCCCTCCCATTCATAAAATAGCCATTTTCCCAGGCAGCAGTTTGTTGCAACAGCGAAGCGAAGCGAGGGGGAAGCGACGGCTGCCGCTGCTGCTCCTGACAGCGCACCACTTGTTAGGTTGCTCTCCGAGCCCCGGGTGTGTTTCGTGTCGATCTTTAACCTCATCCTTCACCACCCACGTGCAAGAACAGCCGGATTTTTTTTTTCTCCCCCCCCCTTCTCACGGATTTAGGATTAACTCGCCTGTCGAGATATGATGTGGACTGGATTGTTGAAAGTAAGTAGAAAAATCATCGCGGGGTTGAGGGAGGGAGAGGAAAGGGGATGAAAGAAAGAGGGGGGGGTCGTTCTACTTCCTCGTCTGATCTTCTGCGGGAAAGGCGTGTGCCCTTAAACTTCATGTATCTTGAGAGAGAGGGAGAGAGAAGAAGACCACGAATCGTGTTTTTTTCCACGAATTGTCTCTTCGGCATGGACTGGAATTAAGCCCGATGCTCCTGCCAGAGAGGCTCGTCCCCTCTCCGTACACACCCGCCTTATGAAGACGCGGTGTTTAGTCGCAGGCACCTACCTACCTGGGCGCTCGCTGGGATTAAGAGCGGTCTGCCGGCTGCATCCTGTAGAGCCGCCTCTGCCCCGGGATCAGCCCAGACAGTCCAAGGGATTGGACTCTCCGGCTGTGCGGGGGAACCACCTTGCCTTTGGCACCTCTCTCTCTCTCTCTCTCTCTCTCTCTCCTCGGTAAAGCTTCAGGCGGCTGGGATCGGGGCACTCGCCCAGCCAAGCCGCTTGCTCTGGCTGCCGTGACCTTTGCTCTTTTTCGCTCGCCTTGTTTTATTTCGGGTAACCATCCGGCGATGCGGTCTCGTTCTCTCTCCCCCCGCCCCCCCCCGGCATTTGCTTCGCTTCGCCTGGTTCCTCAGGTCCCTTTTTCCTTCTCTCCCCCCCCCCATCTCCCTTTAACCCACCCGTTGCCCCCCAGCGGCTTGTGGCTTTGAACTGCGAGATTAGCTGGGAGGATCGCGCTGCGCTAGAAGGAAACGGCGCCAGCTGGGTGTGCCAAGGGCTGTTTTTTTTTTTTGGTTCCTGTGCGCAGCAGACGAGGAGCGAGAGAAAAAGAGCCCGGGGGGGGGGGCGGGGGGGGTGGGGGTGGAGGGGAAAGCGCGGATCTGTTCGGGGCCTTCTCCACCTATTGCGTCGTGGAGATCTAGGCCGAGGACCGCCATCGTCGCACAAGAGAGGAGAGCTAGAACCCCCACCCCCCACCCACCCCCGGTGCGGCCTGGTTGCAGGTCCAAAGCAGAAAATGGCAGGCGTCGAAGGAGCCCAGAGGCTGAGGCGGGCGAGAAGGCCGCCAAGGAGGGTCTCGAGATCTGACCGCGGGGTGGAGGGGGCGCGAGAAAGGGGGGCCTGAGCTGTGGCGACTGCTCCCCACCCCCGTCGGAAGGGCAGCCTAGAGAGGGTGGCAGTTGCAGCCTGCCGCCTCCTGCAGTGCAGCTCCTGAAATGTCAGTGTCAAAAAACAATTTTCCTTTTGATCGAATTTAGAAAAAGAGTGGAAAAAAGACTGGTGGGTTTCCCAAGGCTCTTTTCTATCTTCCAACACCTTTGGCTTATTTTATTGAAAAATCCCTGGCCCTCTAAATATTGAGTGTCTGCTCTGCTTGACACCCCTCTTTGTTTTAAATAACAAAAACAACATCAAATTCATAAGGAAACTGGACAGAATATTTCAGTTCTGATGTTGGAGCTCTCTCTTACACACACCAGCATTGGTGTTTTCTGCAGCATTGTTCTTTTCTACCTTTCCTCTCTCCCACTAATATTACTAATTTCGGTCGTATATTGAACGTGTAAACCTAGTTTCCTTGATCTGGAATTATTTTAAAAGAAGTCTTGTAAATTGGGCGTTGAAGGACCACTGCTTTCCTTCTATTGGCCCTCCAAATTCCCATTATATAAAAGTGAACAATAGAGGAATTAAGGAAGCATTAAAACATTTTCAGGATATCGGAATACTGCTGATAACATCTCCATTTGATAAATGCTGCTTCCTACAACCTATCAATTGTTGAAGGAGTCCGTATGGGATTCCTGTATTCAGACACCTTTTTAACAGCTGCCTTCCCCTTCTGCAAATGATCTTTTCACCTGCAAAAAGAAATTGAAAAAGGGTTTATACTGCACAAAATGAAAAGGTTTATACTGCGCCACTTCTAACTCTGCCTGTGCAAAGCCATGGTTTTGTGTGTGACTGAGCTTTGTAAAATGGCTGCAGCAAGAAGTGTTCCCTTAGCAGCAACTTTCCCCACCTGGTGTTTTCCAGGCAGGTTGGACTACAACTCTTACCATTCCCAGCCACCACAGTCCACTGGGAATTAACAGTCCAACCCATCTACAAAGGTCCAGATCAGGGGAAGATTACTTTCCATTACCTTCATGTTCCCAAGTAGGGCACCTATTGTGTATAATGTTCATTAGACGTTTTGAGAGCAACATTGCTTTTCCCTTTTGACAGATGGAATTGTGGTGGTTGTCGCAATCATAAAAGACCTGAAGCCTGATCCTAAGCATGTTCACTCAGAAGTAAGATCCACTGAATTCAGTGTGCCTGGTAAGTGCATTTCTCTGGTCTGGGTAGTGGCAGCTCAAGAATTACAATCAATGTCTTAAGAAAAAAACTGTGCATAATTTATTTGTTGCTTAGAAATCAAGCAATACTGTTGATGTGTGGAACAGATAAATTCACAGGGTGCCGGATGGTTTTCCTGTTAAAAAAGAAAGTTCATTGATTGAAGTGAAAATTTTGAAGCACTTGAAACGTTTGATCATAATTCTCCCAAAATATTGCAGTTTTACCATCTCGATTTTAGAATTTAATCATTTTGCCATTTCATTCATTTTCTTATATCTGAGTGTGGCTCCTTTTATACCAAGGATTTATTGCAGGTAGACTAATTCCATTGCATCAAGGTCACACTCCCTTGATAAAGTAGAGCTTGAAAATAGTGGATGAAAATAGAGGGAGGAATTGGAAGCAAATTTCCTGAAGTGGATGAGTTTAAACCTAGAAAGAGACTGTGTGAAACTGGATGCTCCTGATTTGTTCCAAGGGTTCCCTTTAGTGTAGCTTGAAGTCTTTTGATGCTATTCAGTGTTAAACACTACATGTTCCATGGGGATTACAAGTAATTTGATCCTCATTAACTGGCATTCTTGTTCTCCTGTCAGTTTGGTCAATGCAAGGGAGACTTTCCCCTTGGTTTGCATACTGGGAAATTCTTTTGAATGTTCCATTGTGTCCTGTCCTCTGTATCTTTCCTGAAGGTATAGTTTTCAAGTAGTACTGTCACTTTTTCAAGCAATTTTGTAGTAAAAAATATTTCTAGAGTAGGAGTCAGAAAACCTATGGTCCATCAGAAAATTTCATCATCCCTCACTGTTGGTCTTGCTGACTGGAATTGGCTTGGAGTCAAGATCGGAATGGCCACAGATTTTCCCCCTCCCTTTTTTTTGATATCTTTTTTGAGACCTTTCATTCTAATCCAGCAGGGCCATCTTCATAATTGAAATATTTACATTCACCCCTTACCAGACCGACTGTTTACAGTTGTGCAAATGAGCACCCAGAATATAGAGCAACTAGAGACAAGGCCTGGCTATTTGGTCAGACATTTTATTGGAAATGTCGTTGAAATTCCCATGAATTTCCTTCAGAAGGTTTACTGCTCAGGAATGTATGGGAAGCCCAGCGTTATGTCTTGCTAGAGATGGTATACTTGTCTTGTGGTTTTGTGTCCACGAAACTGCTGCAGCCTGGTTTCATATTTCTCCATGCAAATTGAGAATTGCTCGATCCTCTGGATCATTGTCCACATACGACAGATAATCTGCTCAATTTCTAACCCCCCCAAATGGCTGACCCCAAAGTAAGAGTTTCTCTGTCAGATTCTTTCACTGTTGCCTTGCCTGCTTCTAGAAGTCTTTTGTCCGAGAGGAATGAATATCTTATTCTCTCTCACTTCGTGCCAGGATTCTCTGGAACATTCAACAAGAGCAGTTGAAAGTTCCACAGCCATTGCATGTTTACTCAATTCAGTAGGTTTCTGCTCTTTCTTGAACAGCTCTTTCGGGGAGGGGGGGGAAGAGTAAAGTTTCCCTTAAGTTAAAAGAAGGTTTTGTTTGGTTTGTGAGAAAAACCAAAACCTGTATTAAAACAATACCTTTTGTAAGATTTATAAAATAATAATAATCTTCCAGGTTTTCAAGGGTAGGCATTTGTTTTCTTCCTAAAGATGATTAAAAACCAAGACCCAAAAGCGAGGGGAGGGAAACAAAGAGAAAACATTGGCTTGTATTTGAGCCAGATTTGTAGCAATTTACATTCTTCGATGGCGTGAAGATGAGACTCCAAATTGTGTCCTATTGGTACTGTTCCCTTCTGTTTTCCACTGCTAATTCTGCACAAGAGATGGATCTAAATGTCCTGCTCTGTTCTACAATCTGCCCAGGTACACCTTAGGGATATGTTTAACTCAGCAACTGAAAGCAACAGGAGTTGGAAATCTCTAGCACGCTATTGCTCTTCATCTTTACATTGAATATACACATAGTAAATTTATAAAATAAGAAATGGCATTTTTGTAGAAATTCTAGGTGGGGTTATCTATCTATCTATCTATCTATCTATCTATCTATCTATCTATCTAT